GGGTGGGGTGCCCACTGGAGGGGTGAGCCAGGGCCTGCTGGCCTCTTTCTTGGCCTAGCAGCCTCTGTGGGCACCGTCCGGAAGGACTGCGCTGCAGTTGGCAGGGGATTGCCGGCAGGCTTTGCTGCAGTGCTTTTCTCTGCGATGAGAGTGGCCTCTTGGCCATGGTTTGGAGTGACTGGGGTCTCTGTTTTCCTCACAGGCTGCAGGAGGACGCCCAGACTTTGAGTAAGACCAGGATGGAAGAGTCTAATGGGGACCTTCCCCTCCAGAGAGACACCATCCTATCCGAGTTGTGCTGTGATCACGTCACCGTAACAAACCTGTGAGTCTGTCTGGTGTGCTGTAAGGGTCAGTACGTTTGGCTACTAATGCTGTTAAGGTGAAAACATCTCCTTAGGAGGAAAAGTTTTCCTTTCTGTGTAACTGCCCTCAGATAAGAGATACCCTGATTCACGGCCTGTGATGAACACTTGTACTGCCATCTGAAAACAGCTGGTTTAGTAGTCAGTTACTGCGCTTCAATGTCTCTTTTGGGTTGTAGTCATTACTTTCATGTATTATAAAACTAAAGCAGGAGAAGTATGATTTTCAGATGATTATTTCCCATTTAGGGGTTACACGGAGGGCAGTGTTTTCAAAAGCAGTCATCAGATCCCTTTTGTCAAAGACAGCCAGACTTTACGTGGAACGCAGCGCTCAGTCTGTTGAATTCTTCAGAAGTTTCTCTATGTTTTAATGCCTCATGGAAATCTGGCCCTAACTGTGAATGTGACCTTTTGTTGAAACTACAACTCTGTGGTATCCATGGTCTCTTTTTTGCAGCGTTTAGTACTTGCAATGCATAACTATTATTTTTATATTTTCTTATCTGCATTTAATACTGTCCATTTAGTAATGGTTTACTGCACATGCAGATTACGGTTTTATTTTTTTAAAATCTCTCGTCTCTTCTACAGAATAAGGTTGGCAATGTGAATGTGGAGACTGAGTAAATACAGTGATGCCTGCCTTATGAGGCTGTGTGTTGTTCTTTTGCCAAAAATCCAGGAATATCTGCAGACTTTTATACCAGCATGCGTTTGTGTCAGATTTAGAACTCAGTTCTGTAGCTTTGGATGATTCAGGGGGAAGGAATTATTTTTAAAACTCATTTTAAAACTACATTTCCAGTATCATGATGGAAATGTTTGTTTTCTAGGGTGGAAGTGCTGAGATCTTTGGTGGCTTTAACTGACCCTCAGGAGGGGAAGCTGACTCAGTCTCAAGAGAAAGTGAGTGACTAACAGACTTTCCATGTCTGTTTACTGCATCATTTCAGAAGAACCTATAATTAGGTAATTGAGCTTATTCTAATAATATATTAGAACCGTTTCTGTAATTCATGTTTTTGTGAGCTGGACTGAGGAGCGTGTTTGCCAACTCTCTTTCTGATTGCCCGGCAAGCAGTAGTGTGATCATCAACCGCCTCAGTTCTGCAGGGTTCCCTTCAAGCAGGTGGCAGAGTGAATCAGGCATTCCAGCCGCTACTGGAAGTCAGGTTTCAGATCACACTGTCTTTTACTGACTGAAGGGCCAGCTCTTGCAGACCCTTGGTTGCACTCTCCCCTTGTTTCCATGCACAAGCATGGCATGTGCAATTAGTTTTCTTAATCCAGTGGGATTGATTTCTTGAGCTGGCTCGTTTTGTGATCCCAGGAATCTAGTAATGGCATGAGTGCTTAAAGCCAAGGAAGGAGTGGAGCTTGTACTTTATGTTACTTTAAAGCAATCCTGAAACTGCAGCCCTGATATTTTTGTGGCTTCTTTGCCACTGACGTCGATCAGTGATAGTGTCCTTTACAATAGGCAGAACGCGATGATTATTGGGACAGGAGGTAAAGTAGCTAATGCAGTAAAGGGTTGTAATGGCCAAAAGAAAGTGTGAGAGATTAGGATGTGGTTTTGTGGATTTATACAGTATGGTAAATGCAGGGTGTAATTTGGAGAGGTCATTGTTTTTCTCTTGGAAGGTGTGTAAGACAGTTATGGGATATTTAGATTTGCTTAAAAAATTTATGCTCATCTTTTAGTAATTTGACCTGCTGTAACCTTTAATGAAATTTGGTGTGCAACACTATTTTTAATTACTTCATATTCTTGTATTGAGTCTTGTGTAAGTCTTTAATTTTAATGTGCATTCATTCCTTAAATAATGTGTTTATTTCGAGCAAAATTGCTTAGGAATCCCTGAAGTACAGCTGCCAGTGATATTGCAGTAATAATTATTTTGCACAGGACAGAATGATAGTCTCATACTTGGTTCTCATTTCACAATTTTTATGCTCCTTTGTATTCTAGGCACTAAACTCGCTGGGCATTTGGAAAATCGTATTTGCAGCTGTTCCTGCGCCTATGTCAAAGATGTCAGTGGAGTGACAGCTTGAAGATGGGAGATCAGGATGCAGGTGAACCCTTTTTGGGGATAGTGGCTGGTGGTGCCACAGACTACGAAGGGGCTCTGCCCTCAGACACAGTGTCGCTCAGCGATTCTGATTCCGATGATTTGGGGTTAGCAGATGAAGCGGAAGTTGATACAATATCTCCTGAGGAGCCATCTGTAGATGATGGGGATTACAGGTCAGGGGAGACCCTCGACTCTTCAAACAGCAGTCGCAGATCTCCTGTCCAGCCATTCCATCTGAGGGGCATGAGTTCTACGTTCTCTCTCCGTAGCCAGAGCATTTTTGATTGCCTGGAAGAGGCGGCCAAGTTGTCTGTGCCCTCGATGCCTGAAGATAATGTTGTTGATGGGAGGTTTAAGCGTCCGTTGCCTCCAACCACAGTTTCAGGTAACATGGTTCCAGAAAGCCTGGGAAAGCAAGCCAAGCCAGCGCAGGCTCCCAAAACCTCTCCTGCAGTGCCTGACTATGTGGCACACCCAGAGCGCTGGACCAAATACAGCCTAGATGGAGTTTCAGAGTCTAGTGACAAGACGAACAGGGCAGTGGCCATGGAATTTCTAGAGGGTTTGAAGAAAAGAGGGCAGGAACAAAGCTCGGCTACCCAAGATAGCTACACCCCGTACTTCAACCAGGACCCTTCTAGCTGTGGAGCGGGGAGGATTGTCTTCACCAGACCAGCAAAAAGGGGTGCTGATGGACTGGAAAAGAAAACATCAGCAGGGGAGGATGATAAGAAACACATGAAAATAGATCTGAAGGGAAAATCTCTTAAGAAGACTGATGACTTGAGGGAGGAAGATAAGATAGAGCTGGGGCACCTAGATAGTGGAAGTGGAAAGGCAACAGAGGAGGAGGAGTGCATGATGGTGGGGGACCTGAATACAGAAGGTATTAGTGCAAGGTTTAGTGGCACAGGTGAAGAGCCGTCAGTGGAAACTGTTGGATTCCATTGCAGTAAGAAGAAGAATAGGAAGAATTTCCGACCTAAAGTAGATGATGAAGGGGAGGAGGAAGAGTCCTGAAGGATGGAGCACATTGGAGACATCCAAGGACTTGTATTGTCTTTGGATATGTTTGGTTTTTTCTCTAACTTTTTTTTTCTGATCTGGAAACCATGTGATAGCTTTTTGTCTAACGGTTTGCAATGTAGCCACCAAGAACATTTTAGATTGTGAGAAATTAAGCTACCTAAAATACACTCCAGACTTTTTGTTCATGAGAAGTCTGTGGACACAGGATAGTTGTACCCTAGCAGGAGAGAATAAGGTGTGCTGTGTTTGCTTGAGCAGCTCCCTGGGGCTTGCTCTGGAGCTGAAGTAGCCAAAGAAAAAGATATGTTAGCTAAAAGGCTGCAAGGCTTCCTACTGACTGCCAAATTTAGGGCTGTTCCCAAATCCTGTAGAATCCTGGAAGAAAGATGATGAGCTCATTATGTAGAGATTTTTAAACAATGAAAATAAAACGTCGTCTTCCACTAGATGTAATTTCTCCTGGCCCTGTCCTAGGGAGGAAAACCTTTTTTTTTTTTAATACATCCTTCTCTCATTGCCATTGAGAGTGAAAGCACAACGGTGCCCAGTCATGAGTTTGGAGGGCCCAGGTGGGAACTGGCAAAACCAATATTTTTTTAAGGTTGGCTTAATATTTACCTTATTTAGTGTTACATGATAAAGATTTTAAAAACCACAGTGTTTCCTGTGGAGAGGTACAACTCTGGATACAGCCTGGTGAAGACACGCTTGGGATGGCTTCAGCAAAGGCTCAGCACGTTGGGTGTAGGTCAGAATTCACAACAGCTTCAGTTGCTAAGTTGGGCAGCAGCTTTTCATCTTACTGGTATGATGTGATGTGATGATTCCTGGCCTGCATATTTGTATGTCCTTTCCAGGTGGCATTGCTTCCCCATTGATTCTGTGTGTGAATTTGGTGGGAATGAGGTATTTATACTAGAACTGGATACTTCTTTTATTCTTTGGGATTCAATAAAGTTTCAGTTGTAGCTTGATTTCTTCATCTCTCTGAACCATGCTAATTCATGCAGCTATAGGAGTTCTAACAAATACTCAGTTTATTTGAGAATTGTCTTGAAAATCTTCTAGAATGTTACTCTAAGCTTACCGTCTTGTCACTTCTCCCTCATCTTACATTTTAGATTCTAAAATTCACATTTTTAACATTTTCAACCATTTTACAATATATAGAGAATCACCTCACAGGATGAATCACCTCATACAATGAATCGCATTGTAATGAATGTAAAATATAGTAGTTTTTCACACAGAATGTTAATAAATTTTATAAATAAGGTTGAAAGATTAAATTCTTTGAAAGGTTATATGATTTGAAACTCAAATTAGTTCAGGTCAGTTTGGACTGACATTTTTTTGCCAGTATTCTAAATTAACCAACCCCAATGTTAGTATTTATAACCGTGTAGTGAAAGACTACTTCTTTAGAATTTGTGATCTTTCTTGCTAGACTGTGCTTGCTCAAATTGTGAAGGATGTTTCAGAAGGTTACTTCCTCTATGGGGGTGTCAGCATCTTACCAATAATTGACTGGTAGGCCTAAATCATTTGGGTCTTTGTGTTTGAACAGATGCATCATTTGGCAGCAGAAGCAGAAAACAATGTAAAATTAATAATATTGCTCCGTCTTTTGAAATTCACCTGTTAATTTTAAAAGCAGAATGTATTTTCTCATGAGTATACGGTTTGATGCACATTAATTAATGGGTCATTGCTAAATACATCAGTTGTTCCAGTGCGTGTGAGTGGGACATAACAACAATTCCAAATGGATAGATTTTGGATTCCAGTGGATAATTAATGTGCTGACCGCACCCATTTCAGAATGGAATCTGCTGCCAAGAGCAGGGCATGCTGGTTGTAAGATATGCATTATTTCCTACCAAAAAATGTAGCTCAGTACAAACTTACTGGTTTTACAACTTCTGCTTGCCCAGGGTGGAGAACAGGTAGGACAGTACCAAAATTCCATCACTGTTAATGGGGTCACTGGGGTCTGGGACACAGCTGAATAAACTGGACAAATGCCTATTTGATGAAGACATCATAATAAGATTAATATCTATTAATAAAAGACTCATGTCAGAAAGGTAGTTTTATTAGATCTGAGATGATTTTTTTTTCTGCCTCTGGTAACAGAAAGCTTTTGCGCAACCTACATTTGTGTTGCATAGAAGCAGTGGTATATGCATGAGGAAATTCAGTTCAGTTGAAGCTTATCAGTGTAAGAAAGATGACAACCCAATACTTCCCCCTTCTGATGCTGTTTATATTATTCCAAAGAAATTTCCCTTTAAAGTACAGTAGTAATATTCATTTTATTGGTGTATCTTTTCATACAAAATTCTAATAAAGCCAGCTAGCTTTTGTATGCTAAGAATGCACATGCCAGTTTAAGTAATGAAAAAAAAATGACAAACAGTCTGAATTCCTAGTTTGTAGGAAGATTCTTGCTACACATTCTTGCTTTAAAGTCTCGAAGTGATTTTTTTTTTTTCCCCCCTGACCTTTGAGAGAGAAAAGTAAAATGAAATCAGAAAACCGCTTAGGAGTAGATGCAGTGTTCACGTGGTGTGATACGTAAAGGCAAAGTCTCCGTTAGCAGCAGCAAGCTGACGGCAGCTATGATCTGGCATTGAAACAACAAAGCAAGCAGCAGAGGCTGGGGTCTGCGGGAGGGTCACCTGCTTTGTGTTTGGAAAGTGACCACAAGCCACTACACACTTGAGGACCGTGCAATGAGATTCCAGTTTCTGGGGATGAGCGAGGAGGCCTCAGTAAGGAATACCAACAAAGGAATACCTCATGGAAGCCAGCGTGGGAGGAGAAGACGGTGAGTGCAATTGTTTGAGGGTTGTAAGAACTCCAGGACCTGTAGGGATTGTAATAGTTCAGTATCCCAGGCTCTTTCCTGTGGAAACTATTTCTTGGTTTCCTTTCTAAGCAAATCAGAAATCCGAGCTTGCTTTCTTGGCAAAGGAAGTGGCTTGTTTTTTAGTGTGTAAGTGAAGTCACCCTTCCAAAGGGAGACTCCCTTGAACAGAGAAATGTGGAAATTGGCAGTGATGATGATGGATTGAGGGTGTGGTATTTGGAGAACAGAAGGCAGGTCGTATTTAGAAAATAAGGTAGTAGAGTCATCCCGGAGGAGAAAGTTTTTAGTGCGATTTGTGGAATGGAGTTTTGGAGAAAGGACCAAGCAATACAGGAGCAGGAGGGAAGAATGCCCGAGAAATTGAAGGAGGAAGACCAAGAAATCCTCAGTAGTGTCAGACATTGACAGTGTTTGGCATAAAGGCTTTGAGAGCTGGGCCTTAGGCCTTCGAGAGATTAGGATTTTACTTCTACAGTAGTTCAGTAGGACAAAAGGTTTAATCTGAAGAAATGAGAAAAAAATTTAATTATCAATGTATGTGATGTCAGGCTCGGACTGATCTGCACGCTCTTCTCTTTGACTTCTTTCTGGCAAAGGCACTTCTGTGTTGGCATTCATCACACCTAATAGGATTGTAAAAGCCATGTGCTTGTTTAAAAACCTTAGGACAAGGGGCACAAGTAATAGGTAGATACTGAAATAGATCATTAAGAAGAATATCCAAAATCTTTATTGTGTTGGATATCCTGCGGTGGCTGAGAAATAGTCTGTTTCTGTCTCTAATGTTTTAAACTCCGAACAGCGGAGCCCTGGGACGCGGGGCAAGATTCTGAACTGACAGAAACAGTTGCAGCTCTGAAGGCAAATGAGCTGTGTTGATTAAAACAACATAGGAGGCTTGCTCAGTTTTTATTTTTAATGATTACTGGTATCCATGTTAAATGTTTTGGTAATACTTTGGTAGTACTATCTCATTGACTCAAGAAACCCCCAAGACAACACTCTCAAGAAACCCTGTGGCAAATAGATACTTATTTACATGCTTAAAGTTGGGTGAGATCATTGTAACTCACACTAAGCGACAGTCCTTTCCCCAAAGCTTCTAAATATATTTTGCAAAATGTAATTTTTTCATTCTGAAGTATGAATATTCTGTTCCTTGTTTATATTCCCATTACCTCTAGGTACCTCCTTATGTGGTTCTTTTCCAATCTTTTTTTTTCCTTGCATTTTTTAAACTAAATTGTTCAGCTGTATTAATTAGCTTTTCCATGATTATTTTCAATACTTACGTGTATAGTTTGGAGCTGGTTGGTTGCACAAGAGGTTGGTTTTGGTTAAAACCTCTGCCATTGAGGAGATAACAGCTGTACAGTAGCAAATCTACAAAATAGGTAGTGATTTCTACATCAGCTAATTTTTGTACTACTTTATCCATTCTGAAATTTGCAAGAAAGAATCTAGGCAGCAGACTGGAGCAGCATCAGAGATACCACTTTTTCTTTTTTCTTTTTTTTTTTTAAAGAAATAGTTGAACTGTCTTGGAGGAAGATTTGTCTTAAATACCTTCCCTTTTTTTGAGTATATTGCATTATCTCAAGCTGGCACAAACTTCTTAGAGCATTTCTTGTGTGTTCCTGTTGGACCTGTATTTGGTGTCAGCATTGTTCATTGAATAGCGTGACTTTTCAGGAAGCCATAAAATAAGGATAAGAAAGGGGAGAGAAACTGCAATGGGAGTATTAAGATAAGGAACTTTCAGGGAGGCCAAAATTACACTGGAGAGTTCTAGGGACAAAGAAAATAGTAACAGTTGTGCTATGTAGCACATGGTAGTGCTGAGCATTTTCAGACTGTTTAAAAAAAGTTTGTTTATATTTCAAGGGTTTGTCATCAAAAGCTCAAGATAGGGTTTCCTTCTATTATTTGTGTTACACATTTGTATGTTAGGCATTTACCAGATACGAACATCTCAAAGGGATCTAAGAAAATTAGAAAAAAATGATGTCCAAGAAGATTAGTCTAGGTCAGATTAGACAGAACACAGGTATTTTCAAAGTTGACAGTTTTAAAGAAAGAAAAGGTCAGGAGAAGTAAGAGAATGGAGGGGAGGGAAGATGAAGTGTTTGCTTCCAGAAGCATCCTTAATGGAGGAAATAAACACTTCTCAAGT